GCAATTTTGAACGACATGCTATACTATGACTTTTTTATGCAATTTTGAACTACATACTATACTATGACGTTTTTATGCAATTTTGAATGACATACTATACTATGACGTTTTTATGCAATTTTGAATAACATACTATACTATGATGTTTTTATGCAATTTTGAGCAACATACTATACTATGACTTTTTTATGCAATTTTGAATGACAATACTACGGCGTTTTTGTGATATTTTGAGCAACATGATATACTATGACGTCTTTATGCGATTTTGAACAACGTGCTATATTATGACGTTTTAATCGTATATTGAATGACATACTATTTTTATGGCATATTTCATGACATATTTTTACTCTGACAGTTTTATGGTTTATTTTTTATGACATACTATGACATTTTTATTGCATAGTTCATGACATTTTATAATTTGACATTTTTATGGCATATTTTATGACATACTATAGTAAGACAGTTTTACTGTATATTTTATGACATACTATATACTATGACATATTTTTGGCATTTATTTTGATAAATTATACCATGGCGTTTTTATGCCATATTTCATAACATACTATACTGTGACATTTTTATAGCATATTTTATGACATACGTTACCATGACTTTTTTCTTGTATATTTTATGACATACTATACTATGACAGATTCATGGTAATTTTCAATGACATACTATATATGACCTTTTTTTGGCATTTATTATGATAAACAGTACTATAACCTGGCGTTTTTATTGCATATTTTATTACATCTTCTAATTTGACCTTTTTATGGCATATTTCATAACATACTATACTATGACATTGTTTGGGGCATTTTTTATGACATACTATACTATGACATTTTAATGGCATATTTCATGACACTTTACTATGACAGTTTTATGGTAATTTTTTATGACATGCTATACTATGACATTTTTGACATTTTTTTGGAATACTATTCTACGATATTTTATGGCATAATGTGCTATGAAATTTGTATTGAATTTTTAATAGCATGCTATACTGTGATATTTTCATGACATCATAAACTACAGCATTTTTGCACAGAAAATGAAACAGAAACAGAAATCAGCAAAGTACATAAAAAGTTATATTTTTGTGACATAATATAGTCTGACATTTTTGAGGTTCATAATATTATGACAACTTTATTGCATTTTTAATGGAATAGCCACTATATTTTATTTTATGGCATTTTTTAATGGAATATTATGTCATTTAATGGCAATTCTTCATAGAATGCTATACTATGACATTATATATTATTATATATTGTAACTTTGACACTCATGAACACATACTATGACTTTTCATTATTTATTTAATCACATACAAAAATAAAAGCTGAACTATGAGAACCAGCAGCTCAGGACTTTAGACAGCTGCTTATAGAGCCTGAGGTTTTGAGTTTGATCCTGATTAAGGGCTAGTAAATTGAAAAAAATGTTTATCCCAGTTTCCCAAATGATTGAGCAAGCAAATAATTGCCTGATTAATTTATCATACTCATCAGTTGCAGCCATAAAATAGTCTTTGTATTGCTGATATACAACATAAAAAAACATACTTGCTTATGAACAAAAAAGCAGCATCAGACATTTGTAAACATAATACAATTTATTAACTATCTTTTTTTTTTTTTATAAACTTTTCATTTTACATATTTCCCCAGCTTTTTACATTATACAGTTAGATCTAAATGCAGCCCAACATTTACAGGCTATATACAACTTAAACTTTCTCCATAGGGAAAACACACAAGTATATTGTTGCTTCTTCAAGTATCTGAATCCCTGTTCATTTTTACACATTTTGTTTTGCTACAATATGATCTCAAAATGCATTTGTTTGGGACCATTTGCATAAAATATGAGGGTGAAAATAGCATTACTTTTATCTTTGCAATTAATTAGTTAAAAACAAACTAAGATTCCCTGCTTTAATCATATTGCATCAGAACAAAATTGAAAACAGTTGCTGGGTGAATACTTTACAGAGAGGCCAAATGGGATATCAACGTGAGAAGAGGTCTGTGCAGTCATCACGTCCTGATATACAGCACTGTACATGGTCCCAGGAAAAAAAAAATCAACTAGATCACCAAATTTACACTGAACAGAGGTTATTCTCCAGATGAAACAAGCAACGGTAAATCTTAAAATACAAAATCAGTTGTACATGTTACACTTTACATACACGTGATACTTTCATAAAGTAAATCGCATTTTTCTTGAAAGAAAGAAAAGGGCTTAAATTCAGATGAGTACACTACTCAATGTCCTTTCACAAATCAGTACATTCAGATTAAATAAGGAGAGCACAGCATGTTGCTGTTTTAGCAAATGCTACGCTAAACTGCTGCTCATTGAGACTAATAGAAATTTTCACAGTGCTAGCTTTGGAAAATGATAGTCAGGATAGTCTTAAAAAAATGATTGGGTTTATGCCAGCTGTTGAAATCACTTTACACCGATCCCAACCCAAAGTCATGGATGACAAGGCTTCAACTCTGAACCAACAAATGTGACATTCCTCCTTTAACTGTTTGAGGTCTGCAAAGCATAAAAGACAACACTCCTCGCTTTCAAGATTATCACTAATTAACACAGTCATGTCATGCATTCACAGCATGCAAACACACATCCTACTACCATTTGCTCTGCAAGACAGCATAGACACACTTTACTACACTTTATGGACCTTTATGTATTCACATTCAAAACCTCTGAACGCTCAGCTCCCTCTTCTTGTAGCATTGAGTTTGTAACTAAACGTTAAGTGTTTAAACACACCATTGTTTGTGGTAGATTTAGGGGCCATGTAAAACTGATTCCATTTGGTGAGGATATTTTAAAATATATGTGACTGTATCCTAAAACTAAGACTTGTGCTCAGTGAACGGTTGCTAGTATGTCTGAAAGACAAATACTAGAGATAAGTAACAATTTGAGTCCAACACTGAAAGTCAAACCCTGACAACTGCATATTCTTTTACCGTAAGGGAACAGTGTGTTAGAGGGATGTAGTGGCATCTAGCTGTGAGGATTGCAGATAGCTACCATCTTATACTTCTCCCGGTTAGAATTCCTTCAATATTCATTGTTCAGGAGGTTTTTAGCAGGAGCTGAATTATCCACAGAGGTCTCTTTCTCACACCAGACCACATGATACGTCACAAATCAGTGTTTCTCATACATTGATTGGCATGTCGGAGATGGACCGCTGCTCACCTATTTTCTCTGATAACTTAAAACCTAGACATTCAGGAGGTTTTAACTGGGAGCTGAATTATCCATAAAGGTCTATTCCTCACCAAAACAAATGGACACCTTTTGAATAAAGCAGTTTCACATTAAAAAATCTGTGTTTTTCCGCTGCTCTTGTCGTGAAGGGGCTGCTAACTACTAAACTAAGTGAATGGCTCTATCTAGAGCCAGTGTTTGGTTTGTCTGTTCTGGGTTACTGTAGAAACATGGCAGTGCAACATGTCCATCTCTATGGATAAGGACCTGCTCCCAATGTAGTTATAAATGGCCTATTCTAAGGTAAAGGAAACACAACTATTATTATTTTTAGGTGATTACGCACTTAAGCAAACATAGCATACTTATTATATTATTCTCCATTTCTGCCAATGCATCCCCCTAAATCCTACACACTGGACCTTTAAGTGGCCATTGTTTGAATAATATCCTCAGCATCATACTACTGTAACACGGAGTAGTACTACATTGAACACAATCTGCCAGCAGGGGGAGCAATTGCTGTATGCACCATCACTGAGGACTGCAGCTCCTGATCTGGAGCTTTAGTTCAGCCCATGATTTTGCTCCAGCCCTGCAGCATGTGCCTCTGCTGGAGAGGAGGAGCTCCTCTACATCACATTCCCAATGTGCTGGTTATGGCGGGTTGAGCACTCTGATCCTACACTGTCACAGCAGTCAAAACCCAATGTAGCCTCTCAAGTACATGATCAACTACTGGTTAATTCACAGCAGTCACAGTGATAACGGAGAGTCTGACCACCACCTAGTAATGACATCAACACTGTAACAGGGGGCTGACACGGACACTGTGCTGGCATTTCCCAAGATGAAGCTGTTTGTATAAAGCTCCTATGAAAATGACTACTGCTCCTCTATCTGTAACAATGGATGACAAGTAAGGGGCTGCCCAGCGTATACTGTCACACATACACAACATGATGACTATTGACCATATCCTAAATTCAGGATCAAAATTTCAGGACACTGCTGGACTGGTAATAAGAGTTCTTTTTGTAGGAATGTTCCCGTCTTGATATCAGCTGTAATGCTTCTGAATGATAGTGACTCTCTGTGGATCAGCCAGGTGTCCACCTGCTCACCCTCACTGTGGACTTGTCAGTGGCCTGATCTGAGGCCTGTGGTTCTCCCCTATCGAGGGGCGTCTCTGTCTCCCGGTTCGGTGGTCCTGTCGGCAGCGTTCAGGCCAACTTCAGAGTGCTGATGGGGAAGGAGGGCATGGTCACCATTGCCACAGGGTTGAGCACCGTCTGACCCACCAGCTGCGGGTGGTGGGTCACCATTTGTGTGCTCACTGCTGTCTGCTTGCCAACGATGGTGGCAGCTGGTTGGCTCGTTGCGGTGCCGTTCATGTGAGGGTGGGTGTGGTTCAGGGTGTGGGTGATATGGCCGACCACAGCCGACTGTGTGACGGCCACCGGTTGGGGGTAAAGGGCAGGTAGATGCTGGCTCAGGTGAGCCACAGGGTGCACGGTGATGTGGCCGATGGGTTGGTGGCCGGGGGCTAACTGGACAGTGCTGGTGGTAGTGGTGGAGGGAGCTAGGTGGGCAATATGTTTGGGTCCCCCGCCTTGGATGACGTGATTGACTGCTTGGATGACTGAGGGATGGGACACTGAAGCGTGAGCGATGACTGTGGGGTGTAGGCTGGACGCGGTCACCATCTGTGTCTGGGTGGGGATCAAAGGCTGACTGGGGGTGGTGGGAGTGCTGGAGGTCGTGAGTGTAGGTGGGGCCGCGGGCTTGGACACTGGCTGCGGAGGAGTTGCTGCCAGGGGCTGGAGCTGAGGCTGGTGCAGAGGGACTTTGTGCTGGATGGAGATGTGTTGGGTAATAAAAGAGGTAGTGGTGGGTGTGGTGGGTGTTAGGGTCAGGTTCGGGGTCTGAGTGGGTGTTGCAGTCTTGTGCAGCTCAGGTTTCATGGTTTGAGGCACGGAGGGTAAGGCAGGCTGTGCTCTCTGCTCAGTCTCATCTTCCAGGTCGTCGTCCATAATGTCTTCACCTTCTGCAACAGATGAAAAAATTAACTCAGTAGTATCATTTCAGGATTTTCTGTAGTATTTAATTTTACTATTTCCTAAATCTAAAAGGTATACTATGAAGGACTGTGGGTTATTGTTTGTAAACAGTATCGCAAACGAAAGCGAAAGCAAAAGTAAAACCTGGCTTATTGCCTCACTATATTTTTGTTTTTTCAGCTCTGTATCTTGTAAATGCGCTCTGTTTATGGTCTGCTACCTTTTCATAAAGTCCAGACCTCAACTGAACACTGGGGTACACACCCATAACCTCAACTCAACTCAAGTATATAAAATCAAAAATAAAAGCAAGAAAATACTGGCAAAGGCAGAGTCTCTGCAGAAAAATACACCACTATACTCCTAGTGGGTCATAAGTGATGATCGAGAGGGACTGTTTTTTTTTATTATTATTATGGGAAATATTATATACAACCATATCGGAAAATCCACGTAGTTTATCTTTATTATTTACACAGAGGCATCCCAGTGGGTCTCCAGTAATCTGACCCTGACTGTCAGCCTACCTGAGGCAGTGGAGGTGGAGGCCTGGTCCTCCTCTGGCTGCACTGTCTGTCGGAGGACGCGGTCGATCTCAATCACATCCATCCACTGGCTCAGATCGTTCTTCAGCTCCGCTAATCGCTGCTGCGTGGCGATCTTCTCTCTGGCCAGTCGCTCCATGTCATGCTCGTACTCCTTCTCTTTCCGCTTCAACGTCTAGAAGGAGAAAGAAGAAGAAGATAGTGAAACTTGTCAATAGGTTCTAAAATCATGAACTGAGTGACTCCATGATGGCCTGAGCTGCCACCAGTAAATGTACATATTATCAGTTGATTAGGCTGGCAATAATCCGATACAGCAGTAACAATATAAATCCTTTATTTGTGAAGCTTTGCTTTTGTTGACACTGTGTCAGAGAGGCGTGGATTTAACCCCATATTCATGTCTGAGGCCTTAGTTGATAGTTTTGTATCTGCCTATGATATACTGACTTATATACCCTTATGTAATGGGAGTTGTTAGTGGAGTCTGACGCCCAATTAGAGGCACTTTTTACTATAATGAAATGAATTACTTGCTTCCACTTACTACAACAAAGATACAGTTTGTTGCGAGGATACTGAATTAGTTTCACAATGCTCTTCCTTTGCTGAAAATGTGGTGGAAAGTCATTAAGTACATTTGCTCAAGCACTGCACATAAGCACAGTTTAGAGGCACTTGTACTTTACTTAAGTATTTCCAGTTTATGCTACTTTATCACAAGTCATGGTTTAAGTTCGGGAGCAGGTCTTGAAAATCAGAACTGCACAGGACTCTGAATCAGATCAGTAATGCAAAACAAAACATAAACACAACATAGACAGTTCAAGGTTAAGCCACTTCAGCCACTAAAGAAGCACAAAGACTGTGCCATGAATTCATGTATAATCATGTAAATCAGGCCTCCGATAAAAACCAGCCGATTCCTAGAAAATGTCCAACACCTTTAGGAAAAGGTGTCCGCTGATTGAAAAATAAAACACAGCACACCAATAAACCTTGACAGAAAACATTTATGCCCCTGTTGTCTTTACTACTGATTAATGAGGAATTAGTCTGAGAAATAATTATTTAAAAATAAACCTGCTGTGACCTGAGCCTGTGTGCAGGGAGCAAAATAACAGAGCCACAGAAGCACAAGGGAAGGAGGAGGTGGAGGAGGGAAGGAGGGAGGAGACGAGTATGGAAAGTAGGAGGTGCTTCCAGGCAGTGGCTCTCGGTGACCCAATTTCCCTTAACCCGTCAGCTGACACAAGGCAAAACCAAACAAACTGAGCTGGACTTCCCCCATACACAGCAACAGCAGGAAGAATTTAAAAACTATAACAAGTTTCACGCTGAGTAAGAATAACGCACATGTACAAATAAATATTCAGCAACATATAAACTAATTCCTCAGTTATTCCTAAATAAATATCTGCTGCTAATACAGACAGGACAGATTTATTCTGTCGGGGGATTAGTGTTTTCAAATTGAACACTTGATATAAGTCACGTTGAGCTCGGCCTGGTCAAAGTATCAGACACAGACCCTGGCCCCGGTGGGAGAGGCTCAGGGAAATGACACTGTGTGAAATCTGTAACCAGCAACCTGATGACTCAGGATCATAAAGCCATTTCCCCAAAGGGTGGACTTCCTGTTAGTGCTCATGCCACCGTGTATGTGTGAGTGTGAGGGTACAGCACATGTGCAGGTGATCTTGTGTGTGAGGGCCGGATTGAGAAAAGGGCATCTGTGTGCGTTGTGTTGGGCCAATTGTGGCTGTGTGTAGACCGAGCGTGGTCTTTGCGTGTGCATCTACAGCACAATATACATAAATAGCAAAGGGGGACAAAAGGCGGGCCTTGTGTAATTCAGCACCTGTCTCCAGTCCTTATCCAGGATTAGAAATGCACGGCCCAAGCGGTCTGTGCTTGGACTACATCCCATCGTGGGGTGTTTTCGGTCACATAAACACACACAAATACAAACTCAGAAGAAGTCCTGTTCACATATTGACAAGAACATAATTAAAAAACAATTTAATCTATAAAAACAAGCTGTTTATTTTGGATTAAAAGTAAAGAATTGCACTTTAAATTATAGGCCGGCACTGTTACATACTGAGCAGGATGTTTTACAGTTGAAAACTTTAAGGCCTTACACACCACCAAGTCTGTGTTTTTCATCTGAAATTGTCGCATGTATAAAATGAATACCTCCTGTTGTGTCGGTCACATTTACACACCGACTCCGAAACTTTCATCCAATTTTAAGAACAGGGTAGATTTTCTGCATTTTTCGCATCCATCAAAGAGAGTTTGACCAAGACGCAGTGAAAAGACAAACATCCACATCATGAGAGAGTAACAGGGAGCACAATATCATTTCATAACTGAGACAGCCTACTTACAAAGAGTCAGCTAATAATATTCAGGTGGATGATGATGACTACAAGGAGGATGTCAAAGAGGTCAGAGAGAGAAAGACTGTCTTAGCCCCTTCAGATAGCCACGGTGTCAAATGCACAAATGACAAACATGACACACACTGCCGCCTGCTTTGTATCTCATTCCTTGTGAAAAAGGGTCGAGTGCTTGTGGAGAACCATAAGAAACAACCAAAGTATTGTATCATTCCTCACTCACACACACTGGTATTCAGACAATAAAGTTGCTGTATTTTAATTGAAGCACAGAGTGCAGGATATATCAAATACTCCACTGATGAGTAATGTGTGTTAATCCTTACCATCATCAACATCTGGACACACAGATGTGTATCTCAACAGCCACTCTCTGTTGAAAAGAGCTGATAATATCGGTACTTCAGTCTCAAAGCATTAACAGTATCCTCTGTCTCATCACACGGTGTACTGAAATGCCCCCATCTTTTGGTTGTCATGGAAACAGATGAAAACCCTCATAAGGTTTCCTCGGTAACCTAAAAGACCATGCACACCTTCATATGCGAAAGGTGCCATTTAGTTTTCCCCTGACTTTGTTTAAATGTATAAAGACGTCTTATTCCCCTGGGTGTAAAACGGTGCACGGAGAACAGATTCTCACACACAGCATCTTTATTAAAGAGACTGTCAGCAGGGCAGATTGAAATGGTATTAAGGGCATACAAAATATGTGACACGTGGACCAAAAAGGGCTGGCTGCCTCCCGCTTACACTCAACTATTAGCAGGCAGCTTTATGTGAGCGGCGCCACAACTGTGCATGCCACAAACTATGACTCATGGAGAGAGAAACGCTCCACAAACACCAAGACCCACTGAACTCTCCCTGTTACAGTGCTGATGAAGGACTGAGCAAACACTGTGCTCGCCTCTTTAGACATAGGCAGTCTGAGATTAACTGTGTAAACCTGAAAACCTAGTCTGTCGCAGATGGATCCTGCAAGACTTTATCACCCTGTTAATCATGTCACCAGGTTGGTAGGACACAAGGTGCCAAGTACCTTTTGTCTCTTTGCACATGGCCGCACCCCTGAGCCTCCCAACTTCCTCCGACCAGAGAAGACAAGGCCCCACCTCAACCTTGTTTGCGTGTGAAAATCTAGATCAGTACAGGGATAGGCTGCATTATGTGTGTGTGTGTGTGTGTGTGTGTGTGTGTGTGTGTGTGTGTGTGTGTAAGGTAAACACTGCTCAAGCGCTGTCACAAGCAATGCGAGTGCTGAGCACATGGCCCCACAGAGAACAGGAGAGGGAGGGCAGCAGATAGCGGGGGATTGAAAGAGAGCAATACAAGCTGTACTCACTGACTCACTTTTGCAGCAGACGGCACAAGGCTGGGTTTTCTTAAAGGGCCAGGAGCACAGGAGGCCACGTTGCAGACACGCTGCTTGGCCTGGATGACTGATCAGGCCTCTGCACGGAGGTCTTGTGACAGTGTGGTAACCATAAACCTTTGTCTCTCTGTGCCTTCGAGGCGTAACAGAGAACTTCACGTGGTGCCTTGCTTTAACAAGAAAAGGCCTGACTGTTAAAAAAATCCTACTTTTGCACACCACTCCTTGTGTACAAGCCTGTGCTGGTCATAACTGACCTAATTGGCTAAGGACCAGTCAATAGTCTAGACCATGCTCCAGTGCAGTCCATAAGTGTTGTGAGACCACAAATCTGCAGTATATATCTGTGTTGTTGCACATTCTTATCGTATTAAACTGGGCAGATATTTCAATTCTTTCCCCAGAAAGAGATAGATATGCACACTTCTGTGCCACAGAAATGAAATGTTGAATTTCACTGCAGTCTTGACTCAAACCGTAAAAGCAAAACCAAGTGACTCCCTGAGACTTTCACAAAGACGAAGCAGAGACCTTAAAAAACCTTGAAATATTAAAGAACAGTGACCTCAATTGCCGAGGAAGACTGATTATTTTTAATGTACAAGGCTGCATGAATAATAAATGTCAAAGCAATCAGTGCTTTGTTTCAAGGTAAGGCTTCGTAGGAAATGTGCCATTACGTGCACAAATAAATGTAATTTACCTACAATGCTAAATATTAAAGCACATGACTTCCTCCACCTCCATGCACCACCAGATGGCACAAAATGTTTCAAACTGGCATTTGGGGACAAGCAGTGGAGGAACAAGTTCAGTCAGCTCTGAGGAGGAAATGAAGCGCGAGCGGAGTAAACCGAGCCCTGTGTTTACCGCTCCATGTTCCCTCCCTGCTGCTGGCAGCTAAGCCTGGTGGTACGGCGAGTCCTGCCTGTTGCAGTGCTGGGCGGGGGCCCAGCACGGGGGGGTGACGTCACGCGGCTCAGGCTAGCCATGTGCTTGCTGCTCATGTGGCCTTAAAAGCTCAGGGAGGCAGGATGGAGGGAGGAAGGGAGGGGGAGTAGAGAGGAGGAGCTCTAATGCATCAGGGCTTATTTTACAGCCTCGGCTTTCGCAGCACCACTACAGGCTCAGGGGAAAGCCTTTGGGAACAAGATGTAACACATGTAAAGTAAAAACCCCCAGCAGCTTTATTATAAAAACACAATTACCGAAAAGCAAGCTATTTGCATGTGAGGTTTCTGGTCAGTAAGTTGCTGAGTCATTTGGACCTGAGCTGAAACCCAGAAGTGAAACTTGAACTATGTAGCTGTTGGTCAAGCCAGTGGGTTTCTGTGGAGAACTAATAAAACTACTGTGCCTGCACTTATTTCCTTAGTTATCACTTGAGATAAAAGCAATGTAAATCAGATGAAATGTGATACCGAGCCTAAAGCCTCTTATTGAAACCTCTCCTGAGCTCAGTGTTTTGTGTGCAGGCTGCTTTTCTGCTGTCAACCCAGAGGAGGGCAAGGACAGGGGCGGGGAGGGGGGTGTATGCAGGCAGGACACACATCTGCACCACCCATGTCAAGATGACAGTGTGTACACGTGTTCTGTTTTGGCCTTTCGTCACCTTAAGTTCCCTGTTTTACTCTACCCCTCCAAAACAAAACACCACCAGCCATGCCAGTGAAAAAGCCATCCCGGGACAAAGACGTATACACGAGAAGACTAAAGCAGCTAAACTGTTCCGACCTCTAAGAGATAAACTCTTAAATCACCAGGTTTGTTAAAAAGGACCTGTCACTGCTAAGAAAACTGTTTTATTGGGATGTAACTTTAACGTGTATGCCTCGCCTCGCTCGACATGATGAGGCTGTTACAGTTGACATTTCTGCAGAAAATGGGATCAGCTGTGGCATTTTTCCCTCTTCAGTCTATTTGCTTTAAACACATTCCGTGTCCAGCTCAGCTGTTGTTAGGAGGGAAAGAAAGCCAGGTCAGTCTGCCAGTCGAACACAACACTCTTAGCACCATGTTGCTTAATCACACAGAGAGGGGGCAGAGGGAGGGAGACTGGGTGACGAGCTCTGCACCCACGCTGTCCTAGTTTCCCTCCGTATCCACGCACAGGGAGGAATAACCAGATTGCTGCCTCTCAGAGCATCACATCAGCAGCACACTGTCCTCTGCAAAATTTACATGAGTAAACCCGCAGCGCAGTTATATAATAATCAGAAATATGAATTAGATCTTTTCACGAGATACTGTAAAAGAGCATGTAACTGAGAAGGGCTTTCAATGTGCACACCAAATTGCAGACATCTCAAGACAAGTTTTAATGCAATAAAAACTGTTCTACTACTCCATGTAAAAATCTAATAAGCACCGTGCACCTGGATCATATAAGCATAATAATTAGAGCACCAATACACACAACATGACAGCCAAGCTTAAATTACAACAGCTCATGCAAACCTGGGCCCATGGATGAGCTTGTGTTTCAGATTTAAAGCTGCCACCCTACTGTGTCTATCTATAGGAGGAGGGGAAAAACTGACCCACAGTAAACACCATAACACACTCAACAGCACAGTCAGTCTGAAAGAGTTAAACTAGACCAGTGGTGGACCTTTGCACCACCTGTTTATAGCCAGAATACTCTCATAGTGAGGGCCTGCTGCAAACACATGGTGAGTCATTTTGGACATGGCACTTATACTTAATATTAAACACAGAGACGCCGAAAAACAAATGAAGCGTGAGAGATTACTCAGTAAAACTGGGTCCAAACAGAGGAAGACAGAAGGGCACGACTGAAACTCTGAGTGATAAGTAGGAAACAATGCTGTGGCAGGAAGAAGGTTTTCAAAAGGCCTCAAACCTATTTAGCCACACTATTGGTATGTTTATTAGGTACAGACAGAGACGACCCAACATCACTAATCTTGTACTCTGTCTCCTTTCAAATCAATTTCATCCCTGAAAAAAAATCACTGCAAGTGTTTCTCCATCAACAAGGAATGTCTGAGAAAAGCAGGACAACATTATATAAACCATCATGCTTTGTTTGCCTCCCTTCTTAAACAAATGTCCCTCCTCTTGTACCCCAGACTCTGGCTCATACTGCAGCATGCTTTTAAAACAGTGGGTGCTAATAAACGTGTACAAACAAGTCGTAGCAAGATTCACAAACATGTAGTGAATGCAGTATACAAGCTGGAGCTTAGAGGCTGATAATAAGTGCTCAGTCAGCTGCTAGAATATTTTATTTAAAGGCACTATATATGAGAGTTTGAACATTATTACAGCAGCAGACCACTATTAGCTTTGAAAAACGAGGCAGAGTGATGGCGCCCTGAGCAGAGAATGAAGTCATGCTCCCTCAGAGCTTCTCTGTTCTTTGTTTTGGGAGCTGGGCCGGCTGCACGTGCATGTTGGTCCCTTCCTTAATGTCCCAAGAGCTAGCTAATCACCGTCGCTCTGTACTGCACTCATACAGGGTTACCACCATCATTACGGTCGTTATTTACTCTCTGTAGAAAGTATTTCATTGCACTACCCACTACATTACTTTTGTGTTACTCCACAGCATTGCCTGAGATGCACGGTAACGTAGCTAGCTAAAATATAACTCTAAACCTTACACATGCCCACATATCAGCACAAAACAAGAATCAGAGAATCATGACAACACAGCATTATCTATAAATGCCTCAAAATAAAACTATTCCTATTTCTAACACTATTAGGTGATGAAAGACTTAAACGGAAAAAACATATTTAAGTGCATATAACATTTGCACTTAAATATTGTGTCTGGCCTGCATTTAACAGGCCAGACACCTTCATTCTAACTCATTCTAGTTGCTGCCTCACTAAACCATGGCTTTTTAGCAGACACATCCATCTTGTCTGACATGTTTATCATTTAAGCAGCAGTTATACATCATGAGGAGGACAACCTCAACCTGTTACTCCTCAGAGTCACCATAAGACTGCCCCGAAGCGCCTCTCCAAGGGTGCACTGGACGGCTTTGCTGTTGTCAGCACTTTAAATCATTTTTTCTCTCCTCCCATTATGCAGATAACTTATTTTACTTATGCAAGTAAAAACATAACCATTAGGAAACAAGCTCACCTTGTGCGACTACTCAGTAACTGTAATGTGATTACTAAATTTATAAACAGTACCGTATTTTACAGCATTACAGACAAATGTAATGTGATTACAGTAATGCAACTGGTTACCACTGATAACACCATCCAGACCCACAGTGATGGGACAATTTTGTTGTGGAAGTGTAAAGCCCACCGTCTGGTTAGCCTCAGGTTAACATTATGAGTTCTGTTACCATTAGCCCTTTTTAGATATGACTTGTGCAAATTTGCAGGAAAGCCCAATCAGTGTTTTTTCAGCATTGGCAGTATAAAAATAAAATTGGGGAGGGCGGAAATTTGCCGCAAACCTACTTTTGTTTATACAGAATATGCCTTTTTCGGGGCAATGGGGGGCGTGAGCAAGTAACAAAACGTGTAGCTCAGTGTGTGACGTAAACAGTGACATGGGAGGGAAGCTGCGGCTGGTCAGGCGGTGCTAGTCAGACAGCGATTCTCTCGTAAGTTGGCCCATTCCTCACCGTCCCCGTCATCTGACGATTAATGGCCTCTTTGTTTGCGAGTGGAAGGAGGGCACGCAATTCCTTGTCTCCCCAGTTGCTCATCCTTACTGTCAGGTTTGCATTTCCCTCTTGCTATTTGCTGCTCGCTAATTCCTGCCATCAGCCGTTTCCTGTTTATCCACCGCCAGTGGCTCGCACGTGCGGCGTCATCAAGAGCTCCTCCCACAAGTCTTCAACAGCCCCTCGGTCTGTTTAAACTTAAAGGGTTCCGGCAATATGACTACCCTACGAGGCGGAAAATTGGGCGCCTCAGGTCAACTCGCCTTTCCGCCTCCGTGTGTATAAACGCTCGCAGCTGGCCAAAAAATCGGCCCAACATTCACGGAAAATCTGGCAGTGTAAAAGGGGCTATTGTTAGCATGGCTAGCACTGCAAATACCCGCCATTTTGGCTCCGCCACCTCCATGTTTGCTTGTGACATCAGAGGTGAGAGCTGTGTGCAGGCAATTCAGGCCCAGCACGTTTTTACCATGGATACAATGAAGGTCTGGCATCGATACAGTAGTAGTTGTTTAGCTATGGGCCTTTGCTGAACGCACAACAAACAAACTAGACTTGTCTTACCTGGATGTATCTCAGCGCACTTCTCAGCACACTCAGATTGGAGGTCTTCTTCTCATCAATGTTGGGGATGTTCTTTTTCAGCGTCTCAAAGCACTCCTTCAAGTGTGCTCGTCTGACAGACACAAAACAGAGAGGGGATTTGAGACGGCAGGAATGGTAAAGCCACACTTGGCTTAATTTTAGCACCAGATGAATACCACAACAACATTTTCAATTTGTGTTCGTGACCAAAACAAAGATCAGGCTTAGCATTAAATTAAACAGCTACAAATAAACAAAGGCATCAGTCAGTTTCAGAGGAAACATAGTAGGTGCTTCTCAAAGTCAAAGAGGGATATTAAACGGCTGCATTTCGAAGACCCTACATTATCGAATCTCACAGAAGGACTATTCCAGAGTCTAGAACAACTTAACCAACCAAGAAGCGAGTCCTTTGTTCAGGGAATTCTCATGAATTCGGAGTGTATCCTTAATCCTATGCGCGCTTTTCATTGGTCCTGTCCCCTGATTAGGAGACAAGGAAAATGTGCTAGTAAACTTTAAGTCATTACACCTCAGCAGTTAACGAAAATCTGTTTCGGAGAAAATCTCAGGCGAGAAATGGGCATTCCAGTTACTGAATGTTCACTCAGATCTGAAGACCCAATTTAAAAATTTGTTCTGACTTTCGTAAGGCAAGAGCACTGATGCATTGCCAGTTCTTGGCCGTGCTTGTTTTTTAAAAATGGCGACGAGCGAAATGGCAGCAGGCTTGTATCTTCAATCAATCAATCAATCAATCAATTTTATTTATAAAGCCCAATATCACAAATCACAATTTGCCTCACAGGGCTTTACAGCATACAACATCCCTCTGTCCTTTGGACCCTCACAGCGGATAAGGAAAAACTCCCCAAAAAAACCCTTTATTGGTTGCCATCGTAAATGTCTTCCATCAAAGTAAAGAAAAATGTGTTTCTGTCAGTATTAATTGCTATTAAGAATGAATGGAAATTCCCCACAATCAACTTCCTGTGAGTGTTTTTTAGAGTGACTGCAATAAAATCGTGTATCGTCCCATCCCTAGTCTGGAGCACAGCTGGCAATGCAGCATCCACTTCTTCCACTGTTTTTGACAGTGTAGCTTGGAATTGAAGGTGGGACCTTTTAAATGACCCACACCTGTACACTCGCTTCACTGTTCCATTACGTGTTCTGCAAATGCTCGAAGGGATTCTTGCCGATTTGGAAGGACCCGTCCTACTAGGGAACCACACTTGACTTTGAGAAGCACCCACTGTGTAGTCAGTACACTAACATTCAAATGTAACATTAAAAAATAACCTCTGGTCGCTCTCATTCTCTAAGGAGGCCCTATGGTAGACAGGTTGAACCCACCTGTTTTTCTCAAGCTTGTTATGCACTTCTCTTGTGCCTGCCCTGTAAGAGCACAGATGAGAGCACAGTAAGAATTTGGTGTTTAAAGGGCAATGTGACAAGAATAATCAAAATCAACCAAAGTTTGTGTTGCTAGCAGATAGCTTAGTGAGGTCTTGGAGATGAAAAATTAACAATGCAACAGCTTCACAAAGGCTAAATTTTGCTCTTTAACTTTTAAGGTTTTAGGAGGCTACAGGTCAAAAGTACTTCTATATGTTTCACATTATATAGACTGATACATTGGTTGGCAAATATTAAAAGGTCAATGAGAAACAATACTCAGTTTGTATCTAAATTATAATGTAAACAAATTATTAGACGCACCCTCCAGGCCTCTTCTTGTCTAGCTGGCGGCCGTCATCAGGAGGACTCCCCCGGCTGACAGGGCTGTTCTGTAGAGGAGCCTGCTGGAGCACAGGGCCTGACTGAGGGAGTAAGGCATGTTGCTGTGGGGGCGACACGATGGAACCAGGATACCGATGAACCAGCTGCTGGTGTGTCTGCTGCGGTAGTTTAGTGTTGTTAGTTTGGGTGATGAGCTGTGGGTGATGATTGTGGTTCTGTATCAGCTGCTTGTGGTTGGGGGTCAGGATAGATGTTGGTTGGTCGGGTTTGGGTTGTGGGGAGCGCGGCAAAGTGGCGGCAGGTGGTGGAGCAGCTGGAGGGGAGAGCGTGGCAACGGGCAGGGTGGGTGAGCCTGTAGGGTTGGGTGTGACCATAGGGATGGGGATGACCGCGATGGGCATGGAGGGGGGAGGCAGAGAGGGTGGTATGGGTGCCGGGCGGCACTCAGGTCGCAGCTCCTCTGCTTTAGGAACATGGTTGATGTGGGTTGCGGAGTTATAGTTCACATCAGATTGCCTCTGCTCTGCCAACTGCTTCAGACGCTGCTTCTCCTTTAGTTCATCCTCTGTGAAAGAAGCAAGGCAGTTTCAGAGAACAAATACCACAGTCTCCTCCTATACACTCCTCCTACACTTCAGGTGCTATAAATCACAGTACCACACCCAGCCCCCCAACAAAGCAACTCAGCCCAGCTTCAAATTTTACCTAGTGGCCATTTGTGGTATTGCAGAAAAAAATCCCCTGTGGCCCGAGAGACCTTTCCATAAACACCACCATTATACAAGAGGCACCTGTAAAACTGTGGACAGGATACCTCGATCTGCAAACAAGGTCAATAATGATGAATTTTTGATCCATGGAAGTTTCAAATTTGTAAAACTATTGTAAAAACTTTCGCCAGGAGAGCAACTCCATTGGAATAAATTGACGCCATCGTGGTATCCAGTATCTAGTAGTTGTTATACATCTACGACTACAGCAAATAACAATAATGACTATCCTTTGGTTTGTTAAATTATAGAGAAACAATCTATAAAATAACCAGGACTTTGATTTCGATATTCAGCAAAGTTTGTGGGAGAATATAAAACAGGCCTATTATCACTCGCAACTGGCGTAAATGGAAGATGAACCAATAACTGACTAAATATTTGATAAACCACTGAGAGGTCCTTGTTGACTTGCCACACTCATCCTGACTGACCTGTTCCAGATTTAAAGTTACAGGTATTTCTGCAAGTAAAACTTTGAACTTCATTACGTAAAAGTCATGAAACATGATGTCAGGCTTCTGTTTATCAGTGCAGCAGTGATGCCAAATACATGATTACATGAAGATACGGACAAACATCTTACATCACCAGCAAAGAGTGTTCCAAGTCAAATAAAAACTTTTCTGTGCTTCTTTGTAACAGGATTTAATATATGTGTCTTTTACATTCACAAAATCCTGCCAAGCTTCAAGCGAACTCTGAAAGAAGGTTGTTGCTCTAATGGAGGTACATCTTGCTGTAATGTAAACCCAGTCACAGTCCAGTGACCAAACTGTGTTGGGAACGTGGGTATAAGTCTGCTCTACATCTCTACTAACAAAGCCCTACACTGAGGGAGCCCTTATCATGTCAAGGGCAACACATGCTGTGTGTTGTGAGGAGTGTAATAAAGGCATCTTTAATAAGCTGTTCCTGGAGATTACTTCTGAGTTAGCAACCCCACGCCAATGTAAAAAAAAAACAATCTATTTTGCCGACTTCAGACACCTTTGAAGAAATCACATCAAACATTGTGAAAAAGAAACTTGTTACACTCAAAAGAAAAATCCAACAGCAGAGAGCGAACCCATAAATGTGACAAATAATTGGACTTGTCTGGACACGCTTCAGAGAACGTGAGAGGCTTGTCAATATGTGTGATATCGCAGTATTTCTGTAATAAAAGAGGAGTTGGAATCAAAGGGTTTCATCAGCCTGATAGTGCTTTTCAGTCACATTCGAGACACCCTCAACGTGATGTATGCATGCTGGAGAAAGAGGCTGCCGAGTTGCTATGGCAGCTGTGATGTTCACTGTTAGAGATGTCAAATACAAGTCATTAACGTAATTATGAAGTGGACCGGGGTCACTGCAGCTCTGCACACACTGGTCCCTTCGCTGCAGAACTAAAGTTTCGGCGGCAGACTTAATTACATCTAAGGGACGTTTTTTACTGGCCACTAAAAACCCCATAATATCAATGTAAAGGATTATAGCTTATAGATACACTTACCACCCCCTATGGACACAGTATCATCAGTTTTCGGAGTGCCAGTGGAACAATTCTCATCTATGCAGACTTGTAGGAGTGTAAGAAAATATATAGTAGACTTGAATAGCGCAACATTATATTTTGTGAGACTGTACTGATTCTCTTTAATTAATAATTTACTTGCAAAGATTCATGGCAGTGGTTCAGTATGTTGTGTTAGACCCCCGACTGTTAAATAGCAGTGTTGACATCTATCCTCAGCCGTTTGACTCTTCTCCTCCAATGTAACAACATATCGTTAATGTGTTACAGGGACTGTGATCATAGCAAAGCCCACTGCTCTGAATGCATTAAAACGGCAATTCATATGGGTGATGGTCTTTATATTATATGTTTTCCTAATATTCAAAAAAATCACAATATATATTCTTGCTTACAGTACTGCAAAGCATCACAATATATTATATTGTAACCCCTGTATCGCAATTTTTGCCAATATACAGCCCTACTTGTGACTAGATCAAAGACTCAGTTGGAAGTTTATCAGGTATAGATAGCCTACCTTCCTTGATATAATTGAGTTGGACAAAAAAAAAAACAAAAAAAAACCCCAGAAACATCTGTTAGCATGAACCACCACACCAGGATAGCCCAGGGGACTTTGATTGGGCGGTGAATGCCGAAAAATTTCACACCTTCATTTGGTTAGGTTGACTTTCACATTGCACTTTTTAAAGAAGACCAAACCGCCTGGACAATGTCACGCAGTTACAACAGCTGCTCGTTTGGGGCGGTGTTGCCCAAAAACCCAGCGTATCGATTGCCTGGGACCGAAAACTGAAATCCATCCCCTTTAAAAACCTCATTTTTCTTTTGGGTAGCCACAAGCAACTGTGATATATAGTCCTATGACCATATATCAATAAGCGCCTGCACCTCCTCACTACTCCACCTCTGCCCACAAGACATTTTCCAACTTTTTCTTTTTTTACCTCTTCTTCTCCCAGTTTGTGCTGTTGGTTTTGTTTTTTTCTACCCAAAATGCACTGCGCTCTACGTCACTTCCTCTCTTTGGTTCACTGGATAGTCTGTTTGCATTTCCCACTGTAAGCGAACCACACCAGGGCTCACTTACAAGTGAACCGAGACCCCCAGTTTTCAAGTGGACCAGGGTTCACTCGTTTGGTCCGCACCAGAGTTCGAATGAGCATTCACACCACTCCAAACGAACCGAACTATGGACCAAATAGCGCCAGTGTGAATGTATCCTTAAACTGCATTACTTGCAGCAAGGTGTACCTAATAATCTGGCAACTAAATGTTGAGCACTATCACTATCACTATGTCAGACACCAGACTCTGTATTCCACAGTAAAATTTAAAGCAGGTTGAATATTAGGATGTTCTGTAACATTTCCATCTTGAAAATTACACCGATTGCTTTAGTACTTAGTGTTAGTCATTCGGGTTAGTGTGGTCAAAAATATTGATTTTCAGATATATATTGATTCAGATATTTCCAAGGGTTTCAATATTCATTTTCAGTTATCAACAAACTGATACCAGCTCTTGTTGTTAATGTTTACTACAGTTATTCTGCTGTTCTCTGCTGCTGACCAGGAAAGAAAAAGAAACTGTCATGTCATAGCCTTGTTACAACTTCCCCAATATCAGTTTCCCCCGTGGTATTGAAAACTGCATCAAAAACAATATTTTTCAAGATACTGAAGCTGGAAATTCCAGTATTGTGACAGAACTAGTGAGGCTTAGTCTGAGTGGGCGGAAGTTCGCTGCAGAGATCAGCCTCTCATTGGGTGGAACGAGCCACCCGCTGAAGTCCCGCCCTGCCACCTCCGGTTGTGTAGCAGTTTTCAACCGTTTTCAACACGTCCTTTACTAACTTTTG